ATGGACGCAGTCCTCGACCCGTTCGACGAGCTGGCCGAGTTGGACGCCCACTTCGATTACACCGAATCCGAGCAGTACGCTACCGCCCCGCCCGAGACGCTGTCCTCGGTAGGGGGCGATGAGACGGCGCAGACCGTCGACTACCCAGTGGGGTGGGGCCCAGGACAGCCGCAGCGCGCTGCTCGGTCTGCCCCAGATGCCGCTCCGCCCGAGACGCGGTCCTCGGTAGGGAGCGATGAGACGGCACAAGCTGTCGACGTTCATGTGGTACTGGAACCAGGGGAGCCTCCGCCAGAGGCAAACCCTGATGCCGCTCCGCCCAAGACGCAGTCCTTGGTAGGGGGCGATGAGATGGCGAAAGCTGTCGACAGACCTGCAGTGAAGGGGCCATGGAAGCCCAGCAGTCCGAGACCCGACCCTACACCTGCCAACCAAGAGAAAGGCCCTACGAAGCTCCCGCAGTCAGACCACTCCCTGTTTTTCTCCAACATCACACAATGGGGACCACAGTCTGAGAAATGGTTGGCAGGCCCAGGCAAGCAATATCAGATGGTGGCCCTAGTCGAAACACACATCTCGCCTGAAAAAGCGCCGCTCATCTACGACAAGCTAGCAGCGGATGGTTGGAGAATATCATCGACTACGGCCACCCCTACCAGAAGATCAGACGGCGGCAACACGGGTGGCGAGATCATCCTATCCAGGTACCATGTCCAGGCCACCACGTTCAACCATCTACGAGATCTCGCCATCTCTCAGCGCAGGCCTGACCCTTTCCTCGGCTTCACGCCCATGGTATAGCACAGACGCTCTGGCAATCTGGTTGTTATTGCTGCGTATCTGGAACCCCACAGGCAGATCGAGGGTGCAGTGCACGACAAGCTGCTCTCGCTGGGAGCCTTCGTTACTATGCTGACATACCCTTGGATCATCTTGGCCGATTGGAATATGACACCCGAGCAGCTTGCAGCGACAGAGTGGCTGGCCAAATGGAATGCTACCATCGTGCGAGCACCTGGATCTGCCACCTGCGACAAGGGCCAGGGGCTCACGCTTGATTTCGCACTGGTCAAGACTGGCATCGAGCACATCAATTCCATCCGCCAGTGCCCCACCGTACCGTGGGCCACCCACGTTGGCCTCGAAGTTCGAGCAGGCAGTGCAGACCCCTGGTGGTATCAGTCGATCGACACCCCCAAGGCCTTCCCCGCAGTGGACAGGCCCAGGTTACCGCCAGACCCCAACAGCAAGACCGCCATCAAGAAACGGAAAACAGCTGAAGCTCGAGCAGCTCGTCTACGTGATCTACCCCCTGAACTTCAACAAGCAGCAGCACAGCTTCAGCCACAAGACGAGACCGCAGAGCTGGACCCTATCTCCTACGTCATCCCGCTGGACTTGTGGGAAAAAACAATGGCAGGAGGCATTACCCAGACGTTGCAAGCAGCCGCACGCGCACTTCGTGTATCGACACTGGGAGCACGACGCCGACCTCCTCAACCTCAAGTACGCCAAATGGGTCACGGCGCTCGAGAACACTATGATCAGCCACCACCAGATCGACCCGAAGGAAACCGCAGCATACACTGGCCGAGCTCAGGGTTACCAGCTATCTTGGAAGAAGACAGCGGCTGCTCCAGGCCGTGTACACGTACATGACCCACATTCGGAATGGTGGGCCATTGCGCTCACCCTCATCAAGCGCTACGCCGCGCTCTACGACAAGCCTAAGCATACAGCGCTTATGCAGCAGCAGGCCACCATCATCCAGCAGCGCGCGGACCACTTCAACAGCCACATGCACGACCTACAGTTCGAGAAGGACGAGGACACCATCTTCCGCTGGTTCGCGCTCGTCTGGGCCCCGCACCTGGACAAGGATGACACCGACGACTTGGTCACTATAACCGCTACCTGGGCCTCCAGAGCCCTCTCGGCCGCCCTCGCCAAGTCCAAGAGGGCCTACGGGGCTTGGCTCGCCCAGCAATGGAAGCGCCGCCCTGGAGTACTACACGCCCATGTTAAGCCAGCACCTGTTCGTCACATCGAGGCCTACACGGCCAACCTGACCATCGCCGACCCCACCGTCATCATGGACAACAAGAAGCAACAATGGCAGCAAGTATGGCATGCCACCGAGACCTCCGACGACATCCTCCAGGCCCTGACAAAGGCCAAGGCAGCAGTTGTTCATCATCCTCTCGAGCCCATTACAACCGAGAACGTACACCGCATTCACGGCCGCATGCCACCCAGTAAAGCGCATGGAGTTGATGCCCTAGGACCTCGCGACCTCCATCGGTTACCAGAACCTGCCGTCGAAGCCTATGCAGATATTCTCAATTCAGTGGAGCAAGCTGGCATTTGGCCACTACAAATTTCAGGCACCATTGCAGCTCTCGCCGCCAAGAAGATTGGAGGCGACAGAGTCCTTGGCATGCTTCCTCATATGGCCCGACTCTGGTCTCGTATTAGATCCACCGCGTCGGAAGCCTGGACGCAAGGACTTGACGATTTTTGGACTACAGCCATCAAAGGCTCTTCAGCTCTCCAAGCCGCCCTGCATAGGGCCCTGTTAGACGAGACAGCCTCAGCACTCGGCATTCAGTCGGCGACCTTGCTGTTAGACATCCAGAAATTCTACGACAATATCAAGCTCGCCAACCTCATCATGGTCGGCCTCAACTGTGGCTTCCCTGCCATCATTCTTTTATTGGAGGTACAGCTCTACCTGGCGCCCAGATTCTTGCGCAGTCGTCAATGGGTGAGCATGCCTATCTTCGCCTCCAAGGGCATCATTGCAGGCTCCCCCCACGGCACCACCCTGGCACGACTTATTTTGTTACCAATTCTACGACATGCTCAAGCTCAGGCAGAGCTTGCCCAGATGTGGACCTTCGTGGACGACACTGTACTACGAGTCGAAGGAGTCCTACGTGCTTTGCAGAAGCACCTCCCCCGTGCCGCCAGGACGCTATGCAACGGATTAAAGGAGTTCGAGTTGCCTATCTCAGACAAGACCGTCCTCATCGGCTCCACTCCCAAGGTCCGCCACTTGCTTGCCAAGAAGATGCGACAGTACGACATCCCAGTTACCGCGACCTCCACGGCCGTCGACCTTGGCGTGGACGCTGCCGCGGCTACTCGACGAGTACAAGCCAAAGCCAGGAAGCGTCAGATCTCCGCCACCGCCAGGTTTCGCAAAATACATCGACTACGGAGCACTGCACAACAGGCCCGAATCTCTGCTGGCCTGTGGCGCACTGGCGCTCTTCCTGAAGGAGTATTTGGCCATCAGGTTCACGGCCTCGCTCGGCACGCTCTTCTACGCTGGTGGCGACAGGCCGCCATGGCAGCGACGGGCGCTGCAGCGGGTCGTTGCCTCACTTCTCTCCTCGGCGCCACCTTTGACGGCATGGACCCTGGAGTCCCCCTAAGGATTGAGTTCATCGAGGCCTGGCTTCAGCACTGGATACGCCACCCGAACACGCACGCCAGGATCATCAGAGCCTGGCCAAAGATCAAGACTACCCTGCTCGCCGCTGGCCCCAAGCTGTGGTGCAAGGTCAAGGGCCCCACAGGCGCGGCCATCGCGACCCTGCTAGAAGCCAGTTGGGAGCCGACCTCAGCTACGACGTGGAGGCGTACGAAGGACGGCTACATCGAGGAGTGGAACCTTCCCCCGGCCGACGACCCTGACCTCCTCGACGCCGACATCCACACAGTATTTCAAGACCTCAGCGAAGATCTACACCGTCTCCTCTGGACGCAGGCCGCTACACATACCCATGGAGACACGCTTGCAGGAGGCGCAGACATGGTCACTATCCGCATTGAACAAAGGAGGTTCCTCGCAAACGGCGACTTCAGCGATTGGGCCCTCAACAACACCATCATCAGCGGAGGACAGTGGACCAGAGACCGCCTCCACAACGCAGGCTACCAGATCGACAGGAACTGCGACCGCTGCAGTGCTGGAGCCCCTGAAACCCTGTTTCACCGCATGTGGCAGTGCGAGGCGAACGTTGGGCCCGAGTTTGAGGCCAGCGACAAGCTACTGCCGCGAGCCCTAGCGGGGGCCGATGCCGACCCCGCCTTGTGGCTCCGCGGCCTTCCCTCTTCTGCTCTCACTACGCCCACGTTCGAGCCATTGACTGGGAGGGGCGGGTGGGAGTTTGTTGGTGAGGTGCGGGAGGGTTTGCCGACCTGGGAAGGTGCTCGTAACGCAGAGGGTGAGTTGTTTCTTTTTGGCGACGGGTCTGGCGGAGCCTTCTCCGACGACGTCAGGCGACGTCGCGTCGGCTCTGGCCTCGCGGCCCTTCGTTGGAACCCTCCCTCGGCCTCCTGGACCCTCCACCCGGGCCTCCAAGCCCCCCCTTCCAGGCCCCCGCCAGACCGTCCCAAGAGGAGAATTATATGCGTTCTGCCTGGCACTAGAGACGTGCCATCAGGATTTCACTTATGTTACCGACCACCTAGCCTTGCAGCGTGGTTGGCAGAATGGTAGATGTCTCAGGCCAGGCAGCCTCAGAGGTAAGAATAAGAATGGTGATCTCTGGCTGAGAATACGGCATCTCGTGCAGGATCGACCGCGTGGCGCTTCCTCGGTCACGGTGCTCTGGACCCCATCTCACGCCGATCCCCAGACCCTGCACGGTTTTCAGAAATTTCTAGCTCTCGGTAACCAGCAAGCCGACGAGCTTGCGGGAAAAGCGGCCCACAAGTCGGCTACCCTTGCCCTCCCGCACGTGCCCAGGACTGACGAATATGATGCTATTGCGGCGATTGTCCGACAGCGGGCACGACTAATCCTACGTTCTTTCGGTGAGAATGCAGAGCCACGAGGATCGTGGCCAGAGAGGCAACCCACTCAAGAGGCTGCCCCTCGCTCTCTGTTGCAGACCGCGATCGCGGATTCTCAGCACAAATTCGTTAGGTGTGTAGATAAATGGCGATGCTCTGCTTGTCACATCATCGTCGATGCTTGCCAGATTATTCCTGCTGCCGCCACGGAGTGTGTACCGCCTTGCCCCCTTCCTGAGTTTGCTGCGTGTGGCGAGGTGCTGTGGTCGAGGGGTCACCGTGTGATCAGTGGCAAGGCGATACACCCCTCCCACATGTTGGCCACCATCCCCAAGTGGCAAATGTTCTTCTGTGTGAAGTGCGGCCATACGGCCACACACCAGGTCAAATGCTTACAGTTCCCCTGCCCTCTCACCCACCAAGTGGGAGAGCGCAGGGCCCTGGGACCCACTGGCAAAGGCCTCGAGAACCTCAGCAGGATCAGACGAGGCCTCCATCCGTCCAGATCGGGTCCCAGCAAGTCTGTTGTAGAGGCCATGCATGAATCGGCAGCCGAAGCCGCGATTGCTTCACTCGCGGCTCCTAGCGGCGCCTCTGAGTAAATTGTGAGGCCAGGGGGGCCTGTCGCGGTGTGCCGTGGGTTGTCGCCCCCACGGCCCTCCGAGAAATTCTGGATGGCCCCCCTGGCGTCTCTTGGTCCCCGAACGGACTACGTCCGATTGCTCCACTCCACTCTCTCTCTCTCTCTCTCTCTCTCTCTCTCTCTCTCTCTCTCTCTCTCCCGCTTTCTCTCCTTCGCCCTCCCGTGCCTCCCTCATTGGCCCCCTGCAGCGTCGCCGCAACTCCCCCCCCCCCCCCTGCCTCGCGTCCTTCCACTACGCGTAACCGTTCATTCCTCCAAACGTCGAGGGCGGCGGTGGCAGGCGAGAGAGAGAGAGAGAGAGAGAGAGAGAGAGAGAGAGAGAGAGAGAGAGAGAGAGAGAAGAGAGAGAGAGAAGAGAGGATAAGAGAGGAGAGAGAGAGAGAGAGAGAGAGAGAGAGAGAGAGAGAGAGAGAGAGAGAGAGAGAGAGAGAGAGAGCGGACAAGTAGGCGGACCATGGGTCCGTCCGCGAGGCGCACTGCGGTGCGACAACTCGCTAAACACTATTTGCGGCGGTGCAGCCTTTAGATACGAGGGCGGGCAACAAAAAAAACCCTCCCCCGGCGCAGTGCGACAGACGCAACAGACGGCGGACAGACGGTGATGATCTCACCTGTCAGACCGCGTAAAGAAAGAGGCCCCAACAAGAAAGGCGACGTGCTGACACGTGGCTAGGCGGCTTTGCAGACCGCCAGTTGGGCGCTTGGCCGCAAAGCGGCGCGCAGTGACGGGGCACCCCCCGCCCCCACGCCCTGACACCGTGGACGCGGAGCCACGCGTGCACACGGGCAGGCAGAGAGGAGGAGATTAGCGCGGGGCACCAGGTGGAGCGCCGCGGAACGATGACAGCATAGCTTGGATGGTGAGTGACGGCACGGCACCATCGGGCGAGGGCGTGAGCAGCTCGGCGAAGGCTCGCCCGGCGCTGTGGAAGCGCTGGAGTAGAGGACCTTGGCGAGCTTGGGCGGCGGCGAGGTCCGCGGCGAGAGCAACGCACCTCTGCTGGAGAGCAGCCATAGCCTGGGACAGCTCGGTTTCGCGGTCGGTGAGGGGTGGCTGCTCAGTGCCAGCGGCCGAGGGCCTCGAGACAGAGGCGAGGTCCGCGGTACGCCTGTCCAGATGGTGGACTAGCGTAGTGCGGCACCCTGTACGCTGTCGTCCGTCACCCTTGAAAGGTGACTGGAGGGGAACACGCGACCCCAGGGCTGGAGCCGCTAGGGCCACGCCCCGAGAGGTCGGGAGAGCCGCATCCTCTCGCGCAGCAACGATGGAAGCGTGGACGGGGCGCGAGGGCCTGTCTGGTTCAGTGCCCTGCGGGGGGGCTGAAGCCGCCCCCGCGGGCTGCCGCTGGTGGGGGGGCGTAGTGGTTTGCGCGGTGGGACCAATCATGATGCCGTGCGAGGGCTCTGAGGTCGGCCGCGTAGAAGGGTGTCGTCTCGGTAGAGCGGCATGGTCGGCAGCGTGGGGTGTCGGCGGTGCGTCGTCTATACCACTCAGTCCGCGGGGGTCACCCAGGTCGTCGTCGGCGTCTTGGCGGTGGCCGATATCATCGTATGGGGGCGATGTCGCTCTCGGGGACGGAGTCGCGGTAGGCGTCGAGAGGTTGCCCGACGGGGCAGGGTTTTCGCTGACTTGTCCGTCGTCCAAAGCGCCCGATCCCCCACCGAAGCTGAACAGGTCGTCCTCCTGTTCGTCAGCGTCTTGAAGGTGAGCGGCGTTGTCATGTGGT